GCTCTGTCCTTGGTGGAGTATGATGGAGTTTGATCCTTAACTATGCTTAAACTAAACTTTGTTTACAGTTTTATAGGAATAGACTCAAAGTGTTTTTCTCCTAACACCAAATTAAATAAGCATCCAGTTATCTAAATTAGCCAGGTGGAAATTTTACACAGAAAAGTAGGTCTAGTCCTCTTACTTTCCTATGCTGCAGGCTGTCATTCACACACAAACACACACACACACACACACACACGTTTGTCAGTTTAAAGAAAAACTCTGGATATATTGTAGGGTAAACAATTTATAGATTGGTTGGGATAATGCAGCATAGGGTTTTTTGATGCGGGGGCAGAGTTGGTACTCTGCAGGTTCTGACCAGTTCTGGAGAACCAGTAGCAGAAATTTTGAATAGTTCAGAGAACCGGCAAATACTACCTCTGACTGGAGATTTTATAGTATCCTTTCCCTGCCATGCCCACCAAGCCCACAAAACTGGTAGTAAAATTTTTTGAATCCCACTACTGTGTGGGTGGCTGATTAGTCATAACATGGCAGACCTCCAATCACTAGAACTACAGTACAGCTACAGTAATAAGAAAGACATAAGTCAGGGCTTGTCCATTCCAACAAATTATCATAATTGTAGTTAGACATGTACACACACACACACACACACACACATTAGGCACATTTAATTTATTATGATTGCAATTATACAAACTGTGTGAGTTTGGTTGTAATATACCTATGCAAACATCCCTGCCAAAGCAGGTTCCTGGTAGATTAACTGTACTTAGTTTTCTGAAGTGGGGATTTTCCCTCAATTATCTGTCTAAGAATATGAAAAGAATTCTGTGGATAGAAACTAGGAATTGGAAATGGAAAAGAAGAAACTATGGATCATTTTCAACTTTAAAGAAGAGTTATAAAGGATGGAGGAGTATCAACTCAAACCAACCTTTATTACATTCAAAAACCAACATTGGGAGAGCCGGTAGAAATTAATCCACTATCAACCAAAAAATAGAAGAGAATATCTGGGAATCCTTGTATGAAATCAACTTAAGCGAATGGGGATTAATCAGTGTAAATATTAAATTAAGTAGCATCACAGTGCTTAATAAAGGCTGATTAGTAAATAGGGTATGTGACAATTGGCAAGATTCTGCTTAGGAGCTCTGTTACTACTGGTATTTAAAGGCTGTTTAAAATTAAAGGCTAAATTAAAGGCCCAGTAAGCTGGGCTTGTTTGTGGATGCCAATTATTTGAAGATCAACCCCTCCATGGAAGTGTCCATGAAGTCACCAGCTTGAAGATATTTAAAGGTCTCATTGATATTTTCAGATCAGATTAATGTTTTGTGTTTATACTTTTCCTGATCTTGGGGGTGGGGGATGTTAAAATTTACTGCATTACTATTGACTATTTCTTCTTTTAAAATGCACTTATTGTGCGGCTGCATGTCACTTAGCTTTACTGCCCTGATGGAGGCAGTTTCTAAATTGATTAAATAACATCATCATCCCCTTAGTTGCAAAGACACGAAAATAGGAACTTCACCCAGAGACTATGCATCAATCCCACCCCCTTTTCGTCTGTGCTACATTGAGCTATTTCAAGTTTGTCCGCAGTGCATCCCAAATCACATTCAGCAAGCGTTTCTGCTGGAGAAAAAGTCTCACATTAACTCATGCCCCAATTCCTGGGTTTGATTCCGTTTTCTCTTTGTACCATAGCTTTTCAGCCACCACAATAATGGTGGCATTACTACTTGGAAAGCAAGAGAAGGATTGTGCCTTCAGGGTTTTGCAGAAGTCCTTTTCTATCATCCATCTGGTTTATGGAGGAACTCAATAGGAGAAAGTACAGAGCATGCAAGAAAGCCATGTGGGTTGAGAGACATGGGTTGCATGGTCTTGTTAGCAGTTTCTGGGTGTTAGTGAGTAAGCTCTGATTCATTCACAACATCGGCTTGTATTGTAGCTTTTGAGAAAAGCTGGCCCTTTCAGTCACTGCCATACTTAAGTAAACCTATTATTGCAAGAGTTGGTTAGTGTCATGCCCCTGTCTGAATCTGATTCGGAAGGGGAGGCCGAACAGCTGACAGGGAGTGGGAGTGTGGCTCTGTTGGCTGTGGAAGAAACTGGGGAAGGGCACAGTCTGGCTGGGCAGAGCAGGGGAGAGGGAATTCAGAGGAAGATCCAGACTCACCCGCTCTTCATCCTAGGGCATGCAGGGAGGAACGGAGAAGGGAGCAATGTGAGTTGCGTGGCTTACAGGGGAGGAAAGGGCCCTGATTCCCTTCATTAGTGCAGCTGGGAACACAGGGTTTAAAAGGGGAAGCTGCACGCAGTAAGTTGTCGGGAGCAAATTGTGAATTTATTTGGTATCATCATGGCTTATCTGTGTTCCTGGTGTCTTCCCAACTGTGTGAGTGTTGCTGTGCTTTCAAGTCTGAAAGTCTTTCTCCTGCCTTGTCAAGTTAATTACTGCAGCTTTGTTTGTTTGGATTTTAAGTTACAGTCTGTATGTACCTTGTTTTGGACTGAGTTTTCTACACTTAAAGGCTGTACCTGGAAGAGTTTTTCTCCAGCCAAAGGTAACCTGGACATCGGGGGCAAAGTTAGAGATAATAAAGGGATTCTTCTTGCTTATTTGACTGTGTTGCCTTTGTACCATGCTCCAGGTCATCACAGTTTTAGTTTAGTTTAGTTTTTCTGGTTTTTTGCTTCAATCATCATCTGCCTTCCCCAATCTAGTCTCTGTGCATATGTTCCATCACAAACCCTTATGATCTCCAGCCTGTCTGTACTTTAAGATTTATGACCGCTCTTTAGTACTCATCACTTTTACTGCTCTGTAAATCTAGAGCAGCAGTGTCAAACTCACGTTGTCACGGCATCATCACGTCTTGTATTGCAACTTTCCCCCCTTCTCTAAACTGGGTGTTGGTGTGGCCAGCGTGTAACACATCTGGCCTGTGGGCCGCAAGTTTGACACACCCTTGATCTAGAGGAATCTTGGCAACTTTAAGATGTGTGGACTTCAACTCCCAGAATTCCCTAGCCAGATGATGTCCACACATCTTAAAATTGCCAGGGTCGAGAAAACACTGATCATTTTAGATAATACTATAGATGCTGATGATGTATGGTAGTTTATAAGCAGATAAGCTTAAAGGTCACACATTGTGTTGGCCTCTTTCTACACAGTACATTTTACTTCAAACTGATGCAAATCTTCAGCAAAGTTTAACTCTCATTTTAATTTTTTTCTTTGTTATGAATCCAATGAAAAAACAAGAGAATTGGTAATCGTACCAATAGTAATAGTAATTACAAAGTTTATATTTTTTGTGTCTTCAAGCCAGTGTTAATGCTTAGTGACTGCCTGGCCAACTCTTGCAGTTTTCTTGGCAAGGTTTTTTTTCAGAAGTGGCTTGCCATTTCCTGCTTCCTAGGACAGTGAGAGAGTGCCTGACCCAAGATCCTCTGGCTGGCTTTGAGTCTGAGGCGAAACTAGAACTCATAGTCTATAGCATGATGCCTTAACCATTACACCAAACTGATTCTAACAAAGTAGGTGACTATTATTCCTATTTTAGAGGTTTTGAGAGAAGACTAAATATTTCACTGTAGATAGACTATCTCATCTGGCATATATTAACCTAGGCAAGTATTTCATACCAGCAACAGAATATTTCCCTAGGATAATTCACACCAGATGAGATGCAGTGTACCTGCAGTTCTATAATGTATTCTGTGTTTTATTTGTTTTATTTTTATTTATTTTTATTTGTCAATTGCTTACAAGTTAATAGGTATAAGTACATACATAGTTATGAATACATGAAATGGGTACATATAAGAAAAATAAAGAAACAATAGGACAGAGACTGTAGGCACATTGGTGCGCTTATGCACACCCCCTACAGACCTCTTAGGAAAGGGGTGAGGTCAATAGTAGACAGTCTAAGGTTAAAGTTTTGGGGGTTTGGGGAAGAAACCACAGAGTCAGGTAGAGTATTCCAGACATTGACCACTCTGTTGCTGAAGTTGTATTTCCTGCAATCAAGTTTGGTGCGGTTAACCTTGAATTTGTATCTATTGTGTGCTCTTGTGTTGTTATGGTTGAAGTTGAAGTATTCATTGACAGCTAAGTCACTGCAATGTATGATATATATACCATACTTAGATCAGAAGAAGACGGCATAATTCAAGGTTTTCTAGGTCTAGAATTTAAAGTCTGGTGGCATAAGTATTCTACAATGAGTAGAGGAGTGGAGAACTCTTCTTGTGAAATATTTCTGGACTTTCTCAACTGTGTTAACATCAGATACGTAATGTGGGTTCCAGACTGATGAGCTGTATTCGAGTATTGGTCTAGCAAATGTTTCGTATGCTCTAGTTAGTAGTGTGATATTACCAGAGAAAAAGCTACGTAAGATTAGGTTAACACCTCTTAATGCCTTTTTGGCTATGTAGTTACAGTGGGCTCTAGCACTTAGATCATTCGAGATGAGTATTCCAAGGTCCTTTACGGAGCTTGGATCATCAACAAGGTCTTGACTATTCAGCTTGTATTTTATTTTCTGATTTATTTTTTTTTGCCAATATGTAAGACAGAGCATTTATTTGTTGAGATTTGAAGTTGTCATTTGTTTGACCATTCTGATATATAGTCAAGATCTTTTTGTAGAATAGCAGTATTGTCTGTGGTATTGAACAGCTTTATATCATCAGCGAAGAGAACGCAGTTGCTCTTAATATGATCACAGAGGTCATTTATGTAGAGTATGAAGAGAGTTGGTCCTAGAACACTGCCTTGGGGGAGACCACTATTGACAGGTACAGAATTTGATAGGACACTTCCAATTTTGACCATTTGTTGTCTGTTTGACAGGAATGCTTCTCTCCAGTTATGCAGTTGTCCAGAGATACCATAAGATTTTAGTTTTAGGAGTAGTTTGTTGTGTACCACTGAATCAAAAGCTTTACAGAAGTCTATGCAGATTGTGTCTATTGTTTTGCCCAGATTGAGTTGTGTAGTCCATATGTTTTTGCAGTGTAAGAGGTGCAGATTACAGGATAGTTTTTTTCTGAAACCAAATTGTTTATTAGAGAGTAGGTTGTTTGTCTCTAAGTGAAGGATAATGGATTGGTTAATAATTGATTCCATGACTTTACAGGTGACGCAGCATAAGGAGATTGATCTGTAATTTTCAACTAGGCTGGGATCTCCCTTTTTGAAGATGGGGATGACCGCTGCTTGTGACCATAGTTTTGGCAAGGAGCTGGTCCTGAAAGATTTTTCAAAGATTATGGTTAGAGGTTCAGCTATGGCAGTGGATAGCTTTTGAAAGAAGTAGGCACATATTCTGTCCGGTCCAACGTTGTGCTGTTATGAAGAAAATCCAGAAGAAATATATCAACTTTTCTACTGGACAATTTTCAAATGTTTTTAAACACAATTAAATGCTGGTTTCACCCATCTTACAAAACATAGCACGGTACTTCATTCTGTTGTAGCATATGTTAGCCTTATTAAATGTCTAGAAAGTCCAGTTGCCTTTTGAACAAAAACATCTTTGGGTATTAACCTTGCTACTATGATTTACAAACAATGGCTTACAATTAGCTTGTGTGAATTGAGATAATTGTATCCAAACCATACCATGTTTAAAATTTGACTATTTAGATTTATGGCCTTAGTAGTCAATGGTTTTTTTAAAAAATGACATATGGCAATTCCAAGATTTTAATTTGAGAATTTTTCATACATCTCAATACCTACAATAATATTAGGATCATTGGCATGGTCACACCCAGAAACAGCAATAGTTTGATTAAGACTCAGATCATTGTTGACTTTATGCAAGATAATATTAATTTCCTTGTTTAGAGAAATGTGGAAATGTAAGTAACTTTAAAATTCTTACAGTAATTGATTTTTAATTTAAGTTCAACTTATTTTAATTTTTTGGCATTTATTTTTCCTCTTCATACTTAAAGTTTTTTTTTAAATTATTTGTTTAACTGATTTCAGCAGTAGTGCAAGCTAAGATTATAATTATAGCTCTTGTGCTTTTCTTGTTGTTTTTATTATATTCTGTAACTTCCCCCAACAAACATATAATACTGCATACAAAAGCTGAAGATATTGTTCAACTTTAAATAAATGACTAAAGTAGGCATCTTTCTATTCCATTAATAAAGCAGCAGCTCAGAAACAGAATTAAGCACCCATCTGTAATTTAGGACCACAAATCCAGGCTAATTCTATCTTTTCAACATTGAATAATTATCTTCTTTTCTATCCCTAAGCACAGTAATCCCATAAGTCTTTGTTCAGTAATGAATTCCAAATTTTGGAATCTAATTCAAGTGCATAATCACACCCTTAAACTACAATGATCTTTGTAACACCCATAACAATGTTGCAAATATAAACTCCAAAATGGAACATTAATTGAATGATCCAATATCGCATAGATAATTGTTCTCTCATCTCCTTTCTATTTCCAACTTTTTAATTCAGTTATCATCTATCCAAAAAAATAGAACAAGGTGAGACCTGCTCAGAGTTGGCATGAGGCAGACTTCAATGCAACTCCAGATTGGTCTTCTGAGCATATCTTCTCATTTTAAAGATAAAAATAAGCCGTGGTGGCACAGTGGTTGCAATGCAGTATTGCAGGTTAACTCTGCCCATTGCCAGGAATTTGATCTTGACCAACTCAAGGTTGACTCAGCCTTTCATCCTTCCAAGGTCAGTAAAATGAGAACCCCAGATTGTTGGGGGCAATATGCTGACTCTGCTTAGAGAAGACTGTAAAGCACTATGAAGTCTAAGTGCTATTGCTAAATTATAATCATGATTTATCACTTATTGCTTGCATGTACACTGAGAGCTTATGCACCAGAGACAAATTCCTTATGTGTCCAATCACACTTCACCAATAAAGAATTCTATTCTATTCTATTCTATTCTATTCTATTCTATTCTATTCTATTCTATTCTATTCTATTCTATGCTATTCTATGCTATGCTATGCTATGCTATGCTATGCTATGCTATGCTATGCTATGCTATTCTACAATGCTCTACTCTACTCTACTCTACTCTATTCTACTCTACTCTACTCTATCCCTTATCCCCTATCCCCTATCCCCATCCCCTATCCCCTATTCCCCACCCTTACCCCTACCCCTACTCCTATTCTTTCTGGTTCCTATCTAGAGGAACACTTTTCATGGAGTACAGTATATACTCACCTCTCTGCAGAAAAGTCAGTTTACAGTCTTTAAGAGAAATTATTATTATGTTGAATTAAATGAGCTATACAGCAGGGTTATTTTAAAATTAATTCTTAGGCAGAAGGACAGATTCAACTTATTGTGAGTAAGAAAACCCATTCATGTTTAGGTGAAAAACTGGTGTTCAGTAAAGCAACAAAAGTTTAAAGAACAACAGATATTATGTGTGCTCATGGACAGTATATCCATACATCAAATGCATGAAATATTATATTGTGTTACAATCTGATATACAATATATATTCATTTTTGAGAAGGATTAATCTTCCAGTTATTTTTCATAGTCATACACATACACACACCCAAATACTAAAGTATCCTCAAACATCATAGCTAGTTTAGCTTTAAATCACACTGCCTTGCACAATCTTTCCTTGTTATCCATCTTCTCACAATGTCTTTCTAAGGACAATTCTGACTTTATTTCTTTTCTCTGCCAAAAAATAAAAAAAACCTTCAGTGGAGAACCTTTTTGATCTGATTTTGGTCACAGTAAAAATTTCACCCTGTGCTGTGCTTAAAGCAGCTCACAACAAGAAGAAACAACTTGTTACAATATGGTTTTAAAAAGCTGCTTTCAAAAGCGATCAGCTAATTCAAATATTAAATGCAATTCAGTGAACACAAAGTAAATGCAAACTTGCAACAAACATGACTATATGATAGCAGAACTACCACCTCCTCCTCCTCCTCCTCTTCCTCCTCCCTCTTGTAAGCCAGAAATGCTGGGAAAAAAAACATGGTCAACTTAGGTCCTTCTCTGCAGCAGCGGCCTTACTCTGTCAAGGCTTCTTCCATCAACATACATACCCACCCTCCATCTTTGCCTTTGAAAAATCCAGATTTACGAGTTTGGATATCCTTTTAAAAATAGAAAAAGAAAAGACAAAGCTCCAGCTGAGTTTAATAGGATGTCTCATTACCACATCCTTCTTCATTGCTCATGCTTTGGGAAACGAAGCCTTTGTTCTCTTTCATATCCCTGTTCATTGTTTTTTAAAAAAAAATGCTAATATACTGGTGGGTACACATCTGCATTTAGTCTTCTCCATTCATGTTGCAATTTATTTAATAAGGCCATGAGCTTTTAATAATTGTATCTCAACTATCATATTAGACATCTTTATTTAAGATCAAGTCAATATGCTAGCTATTCATAAGACCAGAAAAGAACACACCAATACATCTTTTATACCAGATTCTCCTTCTCCTCCTTCCCTGCAAATTCTTATATTAGCTCTCTTATAATAGAAAACTGTCACAACTGTGTGCACCAAAGTGCTAGTCTTCTTTTTTGTGTGGATGGAAAATAGCCTGGCATATACTGTTAGGGTTTCAATTTTTGCCATTGTTGTTTCAGTTCTGGTTTAATGTGTATGGTTTGGGCAATATCCTCACCTCTCCTCCAACCCCCCCCCCCCCCCCACCTTCCATTTTTAACAACTCCATTTATGGCTTTTTGTGTGTCTACTACGATAGAGTGTATAGAATCGATTTGTTGCTTTAAAAAAATAATTGAGGGCCAACCTGGAAACTTCTAGTCAGAGGTATTTCTCAATCTCTTCATTTATTTTGTAAACGTATCACATTGTGATCTTTGTATGTCATTCTTAAACTGTGTACCGCTTTGTAGGATTCTCCTAATCAGATTCTGGGATTACACAAATGGAGAAATGCTCCACCAAAAAAGACAAAAATATCGGGTTCTGGAAGCTGGAGTTTTAAAAAAGTGGTCTAGTAATGTAAGCAGGGGTGGGTTTCTACTGGTTCACACTGGTTCTATAGAACTGGTTGTTAACGTCACTGGTAGTTCTAAGAACTGGTAAAACCGACCCCTGCTTGGCCCCGCCCCTCTCCGATGCTCCTATGGGCCAAAAACTGGTTTTTATTACTGCGCATGAGCAAAAATCCCTTACTCATTCTCCCCCGCCTGTCCCTCCCTTCGCTACCCTGGCCCCTGCCCCATCCACCACTCCAAAGTAAAAAAACCTGTTTTTTTAAAAAAAATGGTTTTTTTTAGTACGCACGTGCAAAAATCCCTTTCTCATTCTCCCCCGCCCTCCCCGCCCCTACTTATAGCGCATGTGCACTAATTACAAAAATTTATCCGCATGGCACCATTGCTCACAGCAGCAGCAGCAGCCAAGCCAGCCAGTTGTCCCGCTAACCGTCCATCCCTGCCTGCCTTCTGCAGCCCTGCTGAGTGAGGGCAAGCCGAAAGCCCTGGTCGCCACCACCACTAACCATCCTCACCTGGCTGGCCTGCCTTGCCCTGCCTGCCTCCCGCCACCACCGCTAGCTGTCCTCGCCCACCTGGACTGCCTACCCCGCCACCGGCCTCCAAAGATGCAGATCGGTAAGTAGGATCTTCCAACCTGGTCATCTATCTACCACCGCCAGTCCCAGTTGCCTGCCCCCATCTTCCCTTGCCCACGGCCCTCCATTGTTGCTGCTTTGCCTTCCCACCACCGATTGGTCATGAGGAGGCAAAGTAGCAGCTCCTGCTGGCCCGGTTCCCTACCCCCTCTTGCCACCGGTGCCACCAGCTGACTCCCAGGCCTGGCGCCGCTGCCTCACCCACCACGGCCCAAGGGTTGATGCCTTGTCTTCCCACCAATGATTGGTAGTGAGGAGGCAAAACAACAAGTTCTGCTGGGCTGGTCCCCTACCTCCTCCTGTTGCCGCCACCGCCAGCCTGGTCAAGAGCCGATTCCTGAGCTGGCTGTCCTCACTGCAGCAAGCTAGAAGACTGAGGAGGACCCCGGCATAGTTGTCTAGCCAACTTGCCTGTCTCCTTTTTGGTAAGTTGCTTTTTTATATTTATGTATTTATTTATTTTTTACTATCTATTTTTGTTTTTATTAATCATCTTCAGTTACATAGTGTGTTGGTTGGTACAAATCACTTGTGCACAATCTCCGCAGTCTTTCCTTTCCAATTTGCATTAAACCTTATATCATGCTAAGCAACTGGCCACTAAGCGAGCACCTGGTCATTAAGTGAGGACTACTTAAATTTGGGTTGCCAGCCACATGGCCACCTGCCTGGGCCTTGCCTGGGCCTCCCCAGGCCTTGGAAACTGGCAAAAAGCACTTGCTAAGCAATTGGCCACTAAGCGAGCACCATTAAGTGAGGACCACTTAAATTTGGGTTGCCAGTCACATGGCCACGGTCACCCCAGTCACATGACCACATAGCCACGTCCAATCAGCAAGCCACTCCCATCCCAGTCACATGGCCACCAAGCCACATCCACAAATTAGGCCACGCCCACAGTACCGGTCGTTAAGAAATTTGAATCCCACCCCTGTGTAAATACATACTGGCTGGGGAATTCTGGGAGTCCACATTTCTTAAACCTGCTAAGGTTGAGAAACAATGACAGAAATGAACAAAATCTCTGAAAGCCTCCATTATCATTCATCATCTTTTAGTAGTGCTTCTCAAAATGAATGTAACATTTTGTCCTTGATTATTTTTATGCAGAAACAAGCAAATGCCATTTCTGGTTTCAATTATCCATGCTATATTTACCCTCAGGATAGACTTTGAAACAGTCTATAAATAGTTTAGTTTTTGAAGGTCCGTTGCTCATTGTAGTTTCTACAAAATTTGGTAGGTTGAGCAGTAAGTACAGTAGAACTAAATTTATTGCCATTCTACAACTAATAGAGGCTGTGTCTATATAGTCCCTGTCCCCTACTGTTTTCCCCTGAGAAACTGGATTTAAAGGCTTCATAGTTTAATATACATCTGTCTCCAGATGTGGAATATGTATTGACAAGTTACTGTCTAAGGCAAGGACAAGAGAGTGGACCTTGTCAGCAGTTGTCTCCAGTTACATAATTCTTCCAGAGATTAACCCTCCTGTATTTTTTAATATTTCAATAAAAACAACTTTTGAGGAACCAATTGGCCAAAAATTAAAATCACAGTCACATGTACGTATACAATCCAATAAAAGTCAAGAAAGAAATGGCTAGATCAGGCTTGTCCAACCTTTCACCTTCCCTGGGCCACATTAGAAGATGAAAATTTGGTTTGGGCCACACATAAAATAAAATAACAGTAACGATACCTGATCATCCAAAAAAAACCATAGAAAACATTTTTTTCATAAGATATCATAAAAAATAGTCAACCAGGGAGAAAGGAACGTGGGGGGTGGGGGGAAGAAAGCTCACCCACCTCGCGCCTACCTCTCCTCCTGCAAATGGCCCGGCTAGATGCAGCAGGACTGGAAGGCAAGGACAGGGAGGCTCGGTGCAGCAGCAGCGGTGGCGGCAGAAGCTGCTACAACAGCTCTGGCGGTGGCGGTGGTGGTGGCGGGGGCAGAAGCCGCTACAACAGCTCCGGCGGCGGCAGCAGCGGCAGCAGCAGCGGCGGTGGCAACAGCAGGAGGTGGCAGAGCGGGACTCTTGGGCTGCGGCTGCCTCGGCACGAGGAGCGCTCTGACGGCGCCCGCCTTTTCTGTTGATGCTTGGCGTGGCGCTCGCCTTGCCCTGCCTCGCGCCTGCCTCTCCTCCTCCTCCTTGCTGGCTCGTCCTCTTGCATGAAGGTTGGGGTGGGCACTGGGCCGCATTACGAGCCGACCTGGGCCACATGTGGCCCGTGGGCCGCGGGTTGGACAAGCCTGGGCTAGATGGTTGCATGCCAACTCCAAAGGCCCTCTTAAATAGTTCTGTTTTTGATAATTTCCAAAAACTAATAAGGTAAAAGAACACTTATAGGATGCAACTGCTGGAAAGTAATTATAATGGCTTGTTTTTTAGGCCAATACTTTTGCAATTGCAATAGTGAAGACTTGATTGAAAAGAATGTGTCCTTTTTCTATTTGTCAGAAGATCATGCCTTTATTATATAGACATTTTAGAGGCACATTTCTCCACTACTTCAGCATATAATCAATTAGCTTTAATTCTAGGCTCTAGAAACAGTTTAGGAATTTAATCTGGGAATACCAGGACTGACTATGTCAGAAGATATTTGCTTGTTAGTAGAGTGTAATTCCTGGACATATGTGAATCTAGCATCTAAAACAAGCAGGCATTCTCCAGTTAACATGGCTAGCTCCTAAGTTTATCTCAGGGATGGAATTCTACAGGTTCACATCTATTCTCTAGAACCAGTTGTTAACATCCTAAGCAGTTCAGAGAACCGGTTGTTAGAAGAAATTACTAATCCTGTAAGGAAGGCAGGAAGGAAACATTCTGGTGTTGCTTACAGAAACTGCCTCTCTATTACATTCTTGGCAGGACTAGACTTCCTGTCTCAGGAACTTCTCTGGAGGTTATTTTCCCTCCTTTGCTGGTACTTTGCTTGTATCGATGACCATTCAAAGTTACAATGGCACTGAAAAAAGTGACTTATGACCATTTTTCACACTTACGACTGTTACATCATCCCCACAGTCATGAGAGGCCAGGCGAGGAGATACGTGCCTCAGTGTGAGTGATGTTGTGTTGGCCATGCCCAGCCATTCACATGACCACCAAGCCATGTCCACCAACTAAGCCACGCCCACAGAACCGGTTGTTAAAAAATTTGAATCCCACCCCTGGTTTATCCTCTATGAGACATGCATGCAAATTGGGGGGGGGGTATTGAATCAGAGGAACAGAAATGGTAAAGACAGATATGACTAGCTTGATTTTTATTTCCTATGGTTTATGACGTCTTTAAATCAGTGTTGGCTTTGATTGACTGATCTTTACTTTCTGTAACTGTTGATTGTGTATTACAGCATCATCAGGGACTTTGACAATTTGTAGCCTTCTGTATTTTTTTCATTCAAGGGCAGTGTAGTATTTTGCAAACATTAGCCAAACAAGCCATGTTTCAGGTTAGTAGAAAGTTAAAAGAATGTTATAAAAGTTGTACCATTATCAAAGTGCAACATCCCCTAATTTGGTTGCACCACAACTATGTATAGAAGTCCCAATAAGCATTAGGCAAATGAGGTCCCTGTGCTAAAACATGTTGGTCAAACCATGCAAATGGAAGACAGCCAGTTTTTCCTATGGTATCTACAGAGCTCCAGTCATCGTCTTGACCTGCTCAAGGTGTTCATTTCATTCACAGAAAAAGGAGAGGAGGATTTTATATTTGGCCTGCAAAATACCAGTCAAAACAAAATCCATAGCCATATATGCTAGTTCACTTGGGTACAAGGCAGTTGCATTGTTAAAATGAACATACAGTGTGTGCTGTTTGTGTTCAGAAGGTGCTCTTGCCAGAAGTCAGGAAAATAAATCCCTTCTGAAGTCATGGACCGCCAACATTCCCATCAGAGTTGATAATTCTATATTAAAGCAGCCAGTGATCTGACTCATTCTAAGCTTCATTGTTCCTACCTTTTTTTTATCTTGTTGGGACTATGCAATGTGTGCACACCTTAATTTTAAACTTTTGGACTATAGAGGCATAGTTGTTCTTGTGCCAGGCCTTCAGATTCTTTCTCCCTCATCTTTGAATTGCAATGTTGGATCAAATTGTTGAAACTACCTTGGTCTGCAAGAAGAAAAACATCATCTGGTGCTAAAAGAATAAAACTAGACCACTCAATAGAAACTCTAATAATGAATCTGAAGCTTACATATTTTGAGAGATATGAAAAAAGAACTTAATGTTGGAAAAACTGTAAAGCTAATAGTAGGTAAAGGAGCTAGATACTATCCCTAATTATAAGTAGTCCTTAATTTAACAATCAGCCACTAGCTGACAGTTTAAAGTTGTGATGGACCTCTCCAGAGCTACTTATGACCTGGTTTCAAAGTTCCAACAGCTGCTCACGTGATCGCATTTGGACACTAGACAGCCAGACCACGTTTATAGCCATTTGCAGCATCCTGCAGTCACATGACCACAATTTACAACCAATTTTGCTGGAAACTGCAGGATGCTGCAAATCGCTATAAACGTGGACTGGTTGGAAACCAGCAAAATTT